TTTTCATTTTCACTTAAAACCATTAATGACCATACAGCCCAGCACATAGTTCAAGGTCTGTCTGTGGCTTAAACATCCATTCTCATGCATTTTCAGCACTTTCATCCTGACAGTAACTTTGGAACAGGAACAATCTCATAAACAGCTCAGAATTGCTGATTTCTGAACATCTTACATATATCGTATCTCTAGGAGATAAATGTTATCTTCGCCTAGTCAAAAAAGTCTATATATATAATTGTGTCCTCCCAGTCATACAAACATAAGAAACATAGTGCCAGACTTGTCTTGAATTTCATTGCTATATTTGGTATATTGAAATAAAGAACGTTGTCTTATCAGTGAAGAGCAAGGTGCTCATCAGTCCTGTTTTTCCTTCATTGCACCAACTGGTGGCATCCTCCCTAGTTAAGCTGCTCGCTGCCATCTTCTCCTCCTTTGCACCCTTTGATTGCCCTCTTGGTTGACTGCTCTTTGCAGTCAACAGCCTTGGCTGCGAGTGTGCTAAGTATTGACTGCTCCCATTGCTTTCAGGAATTGTCCTGGATTTCTCATGTTCTCTACTTGGAACAGACTTGTGATAGGCCCATACAAATGAAGTTTTACAGCTTGGCTTGATTCAGGGAAGAAACCATGGGAATTCAACACGAATGTGAAGGGTAAAATTTGTGGCACCAAATACTCTAAATGGTAGAGGGAGGCCTGTGAGCAAAATGTAGTATTTCTCCTTGGGTAGCGGAAAGGTCACAGATATAAATACCAACATTTTTGGTGTGATTCAGGTGGTTCAAACAGCTATTGAAATTAGTTAGAGCTGGGGTTTTGCCTCAGTGTGTTAGCTAGGTTCAGAAAGTGGGTGTTTCCAGGTAGACCTTGTCAGACCTGGGAAGCCTGAGGGCTTGTAGTCAACTGGATACTCGTCTTTTTTTCTTTCCATGGCAGTTGGATTACTTGACTGGGTTTTTCCCCCTTTGAAAGTGGAATCATGTCTAATTATACTTACTTCCAACAAGTGACTGCTCAATATGAGCCAATGTTGCCACTGTATCATATTACTGATCCCTCTTTTAACGAAAATAATTTGCCTGTGATAGGAAATTAGGAGAGTTTATGAGTAATAGCATTGCTTCGAACTTAACACTGCTGATCTGTGCCCTTCATCTCTGCGTGCGTTGGATAAAACAGTTGTTCATGGTTCGCTCCCCACTTCTGCTGCCATTGACTGAAATCAGGTTGGTCACTCACTCTCTGCAGGCTGATGCTGGGTTTGCCTGTTGGTCTAATACTGGTACACGCACCTCATGCTCAAAACATGTGAGTCTGGTGGAATTTAGCTGCTTGGCACTCCTGTGTGTTAATCACTCATTTAAGTTGAGTGTTGGCTGCTCAGCCTGCTTCTTCCTTAACGTGCTTCATCGCCAAGAGGTAGTCTCTTGTCTTTAAGACAGATCATCAGCTTTAGATTGTGTCAAATTCACATTGCTTTCTTTGAGATACAGGTAGAGATCTCTCATGCCACACACATGCCACATAATAGAGCTGTGACATGAATACTGGTTTTGTAAGACACTTTATTAAAAGAGCAATTCTACTAACATCTACACAAGCGGGTGTCTTCTACGTTGACCTCTGGAATTTCTTTTATTGTTATTCTCCTAAGGAGAAGGAGGATTTCTCTAAAGTAAGGCTTGCTAGTTGGCGTGGTGTATTCAGCTTCGCCCAAAAATGTAATGAAAAATGACTGGTTTATTTTTGGAAACTTTCTTGTTGCTGCATGTCTCAGGTATGAATTGTCCAGGTGTCTGCATTTCTCCTGCAATTGGTAGGATGGAGGGAAGAGTAAACCAACTGTGCTATGCTGCACAGATAATTAAATAGTGATTGTAAAGTTTGGGGGGGAAGCACATTTGCGTAAACTGTTGTAAATATCTGTGGAAATTACACAAGAAATCTGTGCAAAGTTCTTCCCAGCTATTTCAGGGCTACTTGATGCATCAGGCAAATGATGCAGAATTTGAAGGATCTGTGCTTTTGCTCAACATGAATTTAAAATTATGGGTTTGGAACTTTTTTGTTGAGTCTAAAGACTGGCATGGAGGTGAAGGTGGAAAGGAAGCATAGCCTAGAAATTTACACAACCACGAAGAGTGGGAACAGGCTGCTCAGGCAGCTCAAGTATTGCTTAATTGTCCCGCATCTATGCAGTAATGGTTACCCTTACCTGGCCTAACTGTTCACAGGTTCTCTAACATCTATTCTCTTTATGAATCCTGCACAATTCAGGGAGATCTCTGCTGAAGTTAATAGCAAGGGAAGGTCTAAAGAAAGCATTGGACCTATACTTGTTGAAGATGGTCACCTGATTAATAGGGATGAAGAAAAAGCAGAGGCATTCAATGTTTTTGTGTGGTTTTTTTTGGTCATAGAATCCTAGAATGATTTGGGTTGGAAGGGACCTTAAAGATCTTCTAGTTGCAACCACCCTGTTATGGACAGGGATACCTCCCACTATACCAGGTTGCTCAAAGCCCCGTCTAACTTGACCTTAAACACTGTTGTTCTGTAATGATATTGATAGACCTTGGGCTGCCCAGTCCTCTTGAGTTGGACGACCATGACTGCAGGAACATTGACTTTCCATTTGTGGACACTGGGGTTGTAAGGGACCAGCTGTATGTTGGATGTTCACGAGTCCATGGGGCCTGATGGGATTCAGCCCACAGTTCTGAAGGGTTCAGTGGATGTTATGGCAGGACCCGCTCTCTTGTAATCAGTTAGAGAGGAAATACAGAATCAAGTTTCCAACAAAACCCCTCCTTCCTGTCTTGCCTCCATCCTATTGAGCAGTATCAAACTTTCATAAATCAGATTATACCGATGATTAATCATGGACTCATCAGTGCCCTGGTCCTGATCTTGCTACAAGAGATGATGTCTTACAGGAAAGCATCCCTGACATATAGTCTGCACGAGGTGGTCGAGTGTGCACTTGATCACAGTTAATTTCTTGGAATAAGCAGGAGACATGTTTGAGAGGTTATTTTTGCCACTGAGCATCAAGACTTCCATACCTTACTCATTTTATACAAGACTGGGTTGAATGTACTTCTCTCTTTTAGTTAACATGGACTAGCTGCAGGCTGTGCAAATGTCCTTTGTGCTATTTTCTTTCTCATCTGTTTTCCTATTCAAATCCCTATGTGCCACCATGGGAGTTTTATACTTTTTCTGCATGTGGGTTTTATTGCTAAGCACAACAGAGATCACTGAAGCAGGGATAAAAATGTACATTAGCTACTGCAGTCAATCAAGTACTTCTGACTCCTAGGCTTTATTGTGTTCAGCCTTTTTGGTTTTATGAATTGTCACCTCCAGACTAGCTGAACTAAATCAGAATTAAATGTTGTTCACATTTTCCGATCTAATAATACTGTCTTAAATTCTCCCCTCTGTTTTGAGACTGCATCTGAGATGCTGCTATTTGATAAACTCGCAGCTTTCTTTAAACTCCATAATAAAAAAAAAAACCATACAGATATGGACTAGGTCAAATGCAAGACCATCTTGTATTTATTTTAAAAAAGAGGTTGTTTTTCAAAGTTAGACTCATTTAACTTGCATACCCTGTGATTAACAGTTTCCTGAAAACAAGCTTCCTTCTAAATTATTTTGATTATTTTCTTAACAATACAGTAACCCAACAAAATCCGTGTTTTGTTTTTCCCTTAGTAAGAGAGAAAAATTGCTTAAAAGCCCAAAGAAAAAGAAGGAAGTCTGTATGGCTTCTTTTAATTTGCCCAGGTTTTGCCTTTTATTGCTGGCAGACTGTGTCTCATTTCATTTTGTATTAACATCTTCTACTTCTGTGGCTTGAAATTTCTCTTCTGCATTATATATCCTGGCAGGAGGAGTGTGGGTGCAAAACTCGCTGTTTTCCTGATAGACTCACGTGCCATAGAGATAACCAGATTAAAAAGCAGCTGAGGAAAGGCAGCGTTGGTGCTGCAAGGGCTGGATTTGCAGGCTTGAGAGATGAATCACTTTTCCCAAAATCCCATCTTGTCCTACCACAGAAAAAAATTACTTTATTCAAGCTTTGGGTGAGGCTGCTTATTATGGAATAGCGCATGTGCATTAGATAGTATTTCAGTTCTGGCAACAGGAGCTGGGAATTGGTTATCTGAAGAGCTGAAATGCCTAATAAGTATTAAGGGCAAACCACGAATCTTACTTTTCTTATCATTTATTTCCACGCAGGATTTCTATCTGGGCAACATCCACGTGTGGGGAAGATGGTTGTGGAGTGGGGGAGGAGGGGAGAGGAAGATGGTCAGCATGGGGCCTTTTCTCCAGAAATCATTATATGACTGTGCATTGTGTGCCTTTTGCTTTAGCTCAGTTAAAACAGTACAGGAAAAGCAAAATTAAAATAAATAAAAAGCAGTGTTTTTTGGTCTTGGGTTTTGTTTTTTTCCCTCGCAGATTTTAACTTGTATTTTAAATAGCCTCCATCAGTATTTAAAAGATGTTTTCTCAACACAAGGAACATCCATGAGCAGACTTCTCTCTGTAGTAACTACTGTACATCGCTTATTTGCCCACTGATAATTAAAAGCTAGGGAGGGTACAGGAGAAAGGAACTTGTTTGTATTCAACATATTATATAGGAAACTAGGGATCTGGTAGAGAGAATATACCAGCCATCCTCCGTTTGTGATGCAGTGGCTGTACTAGACCAGAGAGCTACTGAACAATTTCTGGAAGCTAGAGTTGGAAATTCTTACTGAAGCTTCAGTCAAGAAAAACTTTCTTGGTATCAGTCACATTTAAGCCTTTCAAACTATATACATGTAATTTTTAGTTGCTTTGCTTAATTAGGGTCTTTTCTAGTCAGATGTTTTGGTTTTAGTTTGGTTTTTTTTCCCAGTTGCTGAACTACACTGGTTCAAATTTTTTTTCTTTTTTTTTTTTTGTTTTTTTTTTTTCTTCTTGGTGCTCAGATGAGTATAGGATCAAACCAGTGGAAGAGGTCAAATACATGAAAAATGGGGGAGAAGATGATCAGAAAATAGCAGCCAGGAACCAAGAAAACTTGGTAAGGATTGAACTTATCACTTATCTAATGAAATAACGTGGCTCTGCTTTTGTGATGAAATATGCAACATGCAGCACATTCAAACTCCAGCTTACACTCAGCAAGAGGATTTTCTCCAAAGTGTCACAGCTCTCCACAAAGCTCGCATAGAAGGTGCGAAATACGACTTTTTTTCCTGCTTGTCTTTCTGAATTAGGCTCCACTTGATCTTGGAGCGAGTGCTTCCATGCTTATACTTGCTCACCTCCTTTGCAGATCTGAATGTATGTGCTTTGAAATGTATGTGTCTGTATTGCAAACGAGTTGGTAGTAAACCAGCAGTGTGCTGCCATTAAGAAAATGACCTGCTTATGTAGATATTTGCTCTGTGTATCCTGCGTTTACATATTTTAAAATTCACAGGGCAGGCAGCTTGGGACAGAAAAAGGAACATATTCATAACACAGCAGTTGCAAAAATCATTTTGTATTTCTTTTCCCCTGATTTGAGCACCTTGCTGGCTCATGGTTCCACTTACAGGAAGGAAATCTCAGGTAAACTCTTAGTGCTGCTTGAAATAACTAGGATGCTGTTGAAGCGGCTTAAAAATCATGCTTGAGTCACTTCTGGCATTTCTGAGAAGTTGTTTCTTCTCTTCTAAAGCTAAAGGAATGTCGATTTTGTAATTGGCTGCCTGAGCCTTTGCCTGGTTGAACTTTCTGAAGACATGTCACAACTGTAATAGTTGGCTGCAAAATTTCACGTTTGGTTCCACTCATTCATTGCAGCTTTTCTTCATGTAGGATTGTTTGATGGTTTGTTGTTTTTTTTTTCCTGCATCAGTAAGACCGAAGGGGGAACATCATCATCAGATTTTAGTGGAACCATAACTATTATCACCAGCTGAGGATTTGCCTTTTGCCGTCATTGGGCAGCGGTACAAAAATCCACTGTTTGGAATTTTTTTTCTTTTCCTGAAGATATAAGTGGGCTCCAGGTAATCTGGAAGCTTTATATTCCCTCTTTCAGACACACATACTCACGTTATGCAACTCCACGTGCATTCCTGTAGCAAACAGCAGGGTTCATTTTGCTGTCCTAACCTCATTGCTTGAGCCATGGTTGAGCAGCAGGAAACGCGATTTCTGCTTCGGTCACCGCATTAGGTGTTTTCCGCCTGCAGTTTTGCATTACCGATGCTCTAGTGGACAGCACAACTTCAGCTTCAAGCAGGATTTTGTTGGCTTTTTTTAGCGCCTCAGAAACATTGCTGAGAATATCACCTTTTCTAGCAGCACTGGCAGTGCATTCAGCTTTATCGCCACTGTAAGCACGTTTGTTTTGAAATAGGAGAAGTGTGACTGCAAGGATATTTTGCTCATTTTAGAGACCCGAGTGCTTTGCTGATACAGAAGGAAAAAGGAAAAAATAAGCACAATCCTCAGGGTTTTTTTTGATAAAAAATGAAAAAAGAAGTCTAGCAGGTTCAATTTTAAACTAGCCTTCAGCTGTAATTAAATTAGAGTATTTACAGAAGGTAACATGTCACTTGAATGACAATGAGGAAGAGTTCAGGAAAGCTTTGGTCTGCTGAAGCAATGCAGTTACTGAAGCTGTATTCAAAACTGGGTAGAGATATTTTGCACTTTGGTTAGTGCCTGCTTTCTTGTAGCACCTAAGTGTTAGCCTGATTAAGTTGAGGAAGAGGAATTTCTAAAGCACAGTGCTTATTTATTATTTATTAGGGTCCTGTTTGATGGGAGCAGCAGGTTTGTTGGAAAATTTAGCTTAATATGAGGTTGAAAGGGCTGGTATAGCTCTCTGCCATGTCTGTAGGGAGGAAAATAGAGCCAGCAATGCAAGAAAGTCTTCGATCAGACAGGATGTATATACTTTGAAACAAAAACCATCTTGCACACTGAAAAGGTTTTATTTTCCTTTTCCTCATCTTACTATAAGGAGATTACATTGTCTGTAATGTATGCAGCTTTTTAATCCTGGGAATTGTCAAGTCCTCGTCACTCCTGGATTTTTTTAAAGGGGTTTCACTGTTCAAGTTCTCCTTAGTAAATATGTTTTAGTTCACTGCTTAGAAGATGGGTTAAGCTACCCATCACTCAGGCTTTAGTTTTCTTAACGTGTGAAAAGTTGACAAGTGCTTACGTAATCCTGTCTTCTCATCAGCCATTTCCAGGCAACAGAAATTTCAGGAGCAAGGCAAAGCAGTGCGAGAATTGACCGCCCCTTTCCCCTCCTCTCTCATTTCTTAATCCCAAGTTTGTTTATTGTCACAGGGCTGCTAATTCACATTCCCTTCAGAAACGCAGCCCAGATGAGATGTATAACCTGAATGTCATTACGGTCTGTTCCCTGGGAACTGCTCTGGTGTAGGTTATCTTACCCTCTGATACTTGTGCTTGAATTATGTTATTCAAATGCCATCAGTTTTCATCAGTTTTTATCAGTGCTATTATCATCACTGTTACTTTTTTAAGGCATTTTGAAGTCTCGCTTAAAATAAAAATCTCTGCTCAAGTGAAAATCAAACCGCTTCCCTTATAACTTAGGCTCTTTGATGTGGTGCCATCTCTGCCTTTGGTGTTGCAGCATTTCTGAGTTAAGGGGAAAAAAAAAAGTGTCACACAAGTAGATAAAGAGAATGGGAGGACATGGCAGACACCAGGCAAATTGGCATTTTGTGCTGAGGTTCTGTGGCCAGGGTCTCAGGGTTTTATTCTGTTTAAAGAGTGAGCTGGAGACAGGCAGGTACAAGCGTGGGTTTCCCTGGGAGAGACAAGGCTCTATCGGTGAATCACCATCTTCTCAGCTGCAACCAGAGGCTTAAGCAGGGCTCAAAACTTGAGCAAGGCTGACTCTCTAAAGCAGAAATGCTCCTAAAATGTATTGAGAATGGGGATGGCTGCGCTAGGGCCATATGCCAGGTGAAACAGAAGATGCTCCATGTGAAGACATTTTCTGGCAGATTTAAAGGCCTCCTTGAATTAAAATGTAGATTCTTGATGGAGCAGAGGGAGCAGACAGGGAGGGGATAGACTAAGAAAAGATGAAAAAGCCAAGCTTGTTTCAGACTCTGTCACAGTGAGTTACTATTTTCCTACTGTTCCCTCATACTGATCGGCCTATTTCACTTCTTTACCCAGGTTGTTTCTGTGGTTGCCACTGGGATCTCTCTAATCCTAGTTTCGTTCCTGCTACCTGTTTATTTTTTGATTTGAAAAGGACTCGCTGTTTAGCTCTACACCATCACAGTAAATATCGTAGGAGCTTGTTTAGCATTCATGATAGGACAAATGTAATTGTCCTCGTTTCCATACTCTGACAGCACTAATGGCTTTCCACTGTAAAATCTTATTGCTAGAAAAGATTCAATAAGAAGATATGTTGTATTTGTGCAGCTTTGGCAAACTTGATGAGTTCCATCAGTTGTCCCCTGAGATGGGCTGTAATAGTAGATACCTCTATCAAACACCCAAAGCTGCATTTTTTGTGTGTGTACCAGGGTTAACTCGATATTTATTGCAGCTCAGTTTTTGGATGTTTTTATAACTTTCACTAATAGAAATCTTTTACTGGTCTGCGTTGACACAGCAGGCCACTTATTGGGTTTTCTACGCTTTGTTATCCAAACCCTCGAAAGAATTGGGCATAATCCTGTGTTTTGTCCTGAAACTCCGTAGTGAAATTGCATGTTAGAGCTTGAGATGAATTCTTGCTGGAGCTGGAAGAAAATTGCCTCTCTGCTCTTCCTATCTCTCACTCTGCCTTTAATAACACATACAATGTTTACCCCCCCAAGTATAAATTTCCACTCCACTTACCTGCAAATGTATTTTTTGTCAGCCTTGCCTGCACTGTTATTTCCTAACTATGTCTCTAGCTTCTCAGCCCAGCTGCTCTTCTCCATTTATCATTCAGCTCCGTAATACTTCGTGTTGCAAAACCTCAGTCTCCGTGGCTCTGGGTTCAACACCAGCTATCATTTTTTGCAGCGATATAAGTGGACAGTAGTGTCTGGTAGATGAAGTGTATGAAATCAAAGCATAGCAGAAAAGAAGGAATGAAACAACTGTAATAACTGTTTAAAATGTAGTATGTGACAGGGCAGATACCTATTTAAATATTTATATTGTACACAGTACGCAAAAAATATATTATAGATATGTCAGTCGTAAATATTTTGTGTTGTGTAGTGCCAATATTGGCATATGCCTGAATTCCAGATCGATTTAGGAGAATAGCTTTTTAATTCTATCGCCAAGCTGCCCAATCTAGGTGGTAAAATAAGTCAGCTAAAAGAAATAAGCCAGCCGCCTGGGAGGTTAAATTTATTGGGGGGTTTTATGATGTTTTCCTTTCTATGTATGCAAAGTACCACAAGTGCAAATTTAAACTTGGGAATACAATTAATTTAGTACTTTAAAGTGTTTAAAGGCACTGCTGCTTACTGTTGCAAGATAAGCTTTGAATTGCTGAGTTTTAAATCCGTAACTCTATCACAGCACTGTTGTAGTACGTTGGTGAAGAGCTTTGTAAAAATTAAAATTAGTATCATATTAATGTATACTGCAGTACTAAGATTTCAGGATGTATTTCCCTAATTATGTATTTTAAACCATTTTCCAGCTATAGCATGTTTCGAAACACGATTTCAGGGTAGAATTTGTTTATTCTCTGCTTGTATGGGGAAAGAAACCAGAAACATCCAAGACCAACAGCTCTCAAGCCCTTAGATGAGGTTTTCTTGGGTTTTGTCTACCCTAAAGAGTTTTGGCCTGTGAAATCCCATGCTGACCCCTTTTTTGCTTTCGGTGCTGTGTGTGGCGTCATCCAGGAGACCCTGTCTCACCACTGACGCAGCGTCAGCTCCAGGTACGAGCGTTGGGATGATTGCGTCGTGTTGGTTCATTATCCACTATCAAGGATGGCTATCTGGACATTTTCTATATATAAAGGAGAGGCTGTTAACTTCTCTGCCTCTTGCCACCCTGTTTTCCCTTCTA